ACTTCATCCTTCAGTTTATCACAAACATTCAACATCAACACATAAAGAAACACTTCATCCTTCAGTTCATCACAAACATTCAACATCAACTCATCTGGAGATGCGTGGGTTTTCACTTGAAACTTCAGCTGCAGTGACATTAAAATATAGTTTGTAACTCATTAATACGTGAGCTAGTCTCTCTTGTCTAAGTCATCCATTGCTGGAGCTTCAGGGCTGCGTAGTTTAACTCATCGCAGGATCTGAGCGATGTGTCCGTGTTCCTCACATTTCTGTCGGCTTTCGTTAACTTCTGGTTCTCCTGTGGTGCCGGTTTGAACAGAGAGAATAGACATGACATAACCACAGCCTGCTGTCTGCTGCACTTAATTTAGGCACCCAGCTGTCCTGAGGAGGCTGAACTGAGGTGTCTGTTTGTGTCCGTCTGCATGCTTTAACATTTACCAACCATTCAGAAAGAGTTACGGTGACAGTTAACAAATATGAGATGTGAGAATACAGCTGCTCATCAAGCAGCTGTATTCCAGTAGATTGTGCATGATTTGCTCAGTAAGCATTCTCTGTGATTGTAAATTCCTCCCCCATCTATTTATTTGTTTTATTATTTTTGTCTTTACCGAGGATGTATGTGTTTATGCTGGGACAGCATTCTAAGAAAATCTTTGTTTAATTTGACCATATATGTATGTAGATCTACATTGTAATACACGCAGTGTTATTGCACTTTTTATTCTAACTTGTAAGTAGGATGCATTGAAGTCTTAACATTCACCATCACCATCATTAATGTGATCATGTTGTCCTCTTCTGTTTCAGATTATCTTGATAATGGCAACAATAAAATGGCGATACAGCAGGCCGATAAGCTGCTGAAGAAACACAAGGACCTGCACTGTGCCAAGGTGGGGGACTCAGAAAGTGTTGAGTTGTGTTTGTTTTCTGCTGATGGCAGACGTCTGTATGGATCCAAGAAAACACAGATTCCCTTTTGGAACCTGTGCACATAAAACAGTTACAGTTTAAAGATCATTTTAGGAATGAAGAGATGAAGCTTCTTCTGTTTTGTCTTCCTATATTGACGCCCCTAGTACGATGGTTTCACTGACTGTATGACTCTTTAAAACATGAAAACCATCTAAGGGTGACTAGTAGTCAGAATATATACTCTTTGATAATAATGGGTGCATAATGCATATGGAACTGGTGAGTCAGCAAACTCCAGTTATTTTACATTTGGGACCTAAACTCAGATAAACCTACTCAAGAGCACGAAGTTTGGCTAAATGTCCCTAAATATAGACTTACTCCTAAAATACATCACGTCCATCACACAGTTACAACCAGTTACCTTCAGTCAAAGTGTTGCTTTGGATTCAGCAACACACACACAAATCACAAATCTATAGACATTCCTATATTGTGGTATTGTTTCCTGATCAGGTCCTAAAGGCGATCGGCCTTCAGAGGACGGGGAAGCAGGATGAAGCCTTCACTTTGGCCCAGGAAGTGGCCATTCTAGAGCCCACCGACGACAACTCGCTACAGGCTCTGACTATTCTGTACAGGGAGATGCACCGCCGTGAGTACACACACACACACAGGTACACACACACAGGTACTAATGGTCTGGTGGCCGCATGCTGAATATGGTGCCGCTTGTTCACAGCGGAGTTGGTCACCAAGCTGTACGAGGCGGCGGTGAAGAAGGTTCCTCTGAGCGAGGAGTACCACTCTCACCTCTTCATGGCGTACGCTCGCGTCGGCGAGTACAAGAAGATGCAGCAGGTGAGGAAGGCTCACGTCCACGCTCTGCAGATATAACCTGCAGGCACACGTGACTAACAGCTGTGGCTTTTGTGCTCCGTTGGTAATTTTTTTTAAAAATGGACATGTAATCAGAATAATGAAGAGGATGTTGATGACTGCATCTTGGCACTTTACAGGCGGGAATGGCCTTGTATAAAATCGTCCCCAAGAATCCATATTACTTCTGGTCTGTCATGAGTCTGGTGATGCAGGTATGGGCGGACTGGTTTACTTCCACGTTCCCTAAATATTGTCATTATTCTGGAAAACAAAACGCGTTCTGTTTGCTGTGCAGGCCATCTCAGCACAAGATGAAAAACTGGCCCAGACCATGTTCCTGCCTCTGGCTGAGCGCATGGTGGAGAAAATGGTGAAGGAGGAGAAGATTGAGGCAGAAGCAGAGGTGAGTAACGGGACCTGAAGGATTTTTATTTGTGTTTGAAAGAAAAGTTCACCCAAAAACTATTTCACCCTCTAAACCCCCGGAGTGTTTTTTTGCTAATTTTCCAGGAAACTTCTTATATTTGGGCTAATTCAGATAATTGTTTCTGATGCTGTTTACAGATGTTTCTGTATTCTTTGTATGTGCCTGTAGGTGCAGCTGTATTATATGATCCTGGAGCGCTTGGGAAAGTGTGTGGAGGCTCTCAATGTGATCAGAGGTCCACTCGGGGGTATGTGTTTATGTGTTTCTATGTTTCTGTACTTTAAAGTTCATCATTGATGACGATCTAAGTTACTACAAGGAACTTTGAACTGGTTGTGAAACAGTCTCAAGTTAATCCTGATGCCTCTTTATGACCTACATACACAAAAGAGACCAGAAGCGACACATTGGATACTTCTATCTAGTTCTTTTTAATGCTAGTCAGCGGGTACGATTCCCCGCGTCAAACGATATCCGGCTCACCGCCAGCTTCCTGAGAGCCAACACCGACACCACGCTGCTGGAGACCCAGGACGTATTGCTGGACCCACTGGAGGGAAGGGAGGCACGGGAGAACCAGAACTAGGACTGAGAGGGGCAGACTGTCAGACCCTGCTGCAGTAGCATGAGAGGTTTTCTAAAGGGACTCTGGTGCTCAGAAACACTACCACTTTAGTCCACAGGGGGCGCCAGAACCAACATAAAGTGAAAGTTCCTGGTAGTAGCTTTAATCAGCATCTATTTAAATGCACTGGTGTTAGCCAGCCGGCAGGTTTTCAGCCGCTGTTCTTTTGGTAAGACGTCTTAACATCAAAAAAGTGAAATTGGAACGAGAGCATTAGTAAGATGGTACGCACATGAGGCAGAGCGGCAGAAGTAAAACACTGATGCACTAAGACAATAACATCCACTGTTCAGTATTTGTTGTAAAGCAATGTCAAGCAGACAGAAGAGATGATGAACTCTGTTAATAACCACATTTTGCAGAAAGACATAAATACAATATTAACCAATAATCTTTATAAAAGATGTATACTTATCTGCATCCTCCCACAGAGAAGCTGACCAGCGAGCTGCAGAGCAGAGAATCTAAGTGCATGAAGCTCTACCGGAGACTACAACGCTGGCCGGAGTGCAACTCGCTGGCCCACAAGCTGCTGCTCAAGAAGTGAGGACAGACCTTTATTTAACAATGAGTCTCTGTGAGAGAAGAACTACCGATGAGACAAACCTGTGTTTCTGTTTCCAGTCCTGACGACTGGCAGTTCTACCCCTCCTACTTTGACTCTCTCTTCCACCTGATGGATCAGTCGTGGAGTCCTCCTGAAGAAGGAGAACAGTGAGTACAAATGTGTTTTAATCTTCTATAGTTCTGGTCAGAAGACCTCTGACCAACACGTGCACTGAGCAGGAAAATGAACCTTCCAGAATATAACTTCCTCAGGTATTAAATGCCTGGTGAAGGTAGAAGACAGAAACATAGCTGTTATTAATCAATAAATACGTTTTTATTCACTGAATTCACCATAAAAGTGAATCTGTGTGTAGACAAGAATCTGTCGATACGACACTAGAGGTTAGGGTTATATATATTACGATACTATAAGCAAGGTGATATATTTCGATTTGTATTAAATTTGTTAATTTTTGCCTTCACGTTTATCACACTTCCTGTAATTTCATACCGCCGCTTTCTGGCACCGATCTCTGCACGTAAACTATTCATTATTATTGAATCCAGTGTTTTTGAGAACCGATGAGTATTATACAACATAATATCGCCATACTCAAGTGTAACAACAATCTGTTATAATCTACATCAACACAGTGTTCATGAGCTGATCTTTATTTTAGTTTTGAACCTTTATCTCCTGCACACCTGTCTGCATGCAGGTGTTTAAAGTCCGCCACTAAACCACCACTATCGTCTGTTTTAAACTGCAATCAATTCAAATCTTTGTACCGCTGCAGTGCTGTTCTTTTACCAGATAAATGTAGTAATGTGTATAAATCTCCTGTGTGTGTGTGTGTGTGTGTGTGTGTGTGTGTGTGTGTGTGTGTATGTGTGTGTGTGTGTGTGTGTGTGTGTGTGTGTGTGTGTGTGTGTGTCTGCAGCTGCTCGGAGGGTTCGGTTCACCACACGGTGGCCGAGGTGGTGAGCTTCGTGGAGGAGAGGGTTTCGGGGGAGGATGGCAGAGACTCGCGCTCACTCAGAGGACCCTATTTAGCTCGGCTCGAATTAATGCACAGACTGAGAGAAAGAGGCTGTCCTGAAGAGAAACTGTTAGGTAACAAACACACGGACTGTAACAAACCGTTGCTTTTTGCCCCTTTCTTGAGTCGTTTCCCCCCCCCCCCCTCTATATTTACCTGGTGCTTTAGCCTTTTTGTATGTGGCTTCAAACAGGTGAGCCTTTAGAGCTAATGGTGCAGTTCTTTGGGAAGTTTGGAGACAAACCCTGCTGCATCACCGACCTAAAACTATACCTCCACCTGCTCGCTCCCGAACAACCCGTGCAGGTGAGTCTCCGCAGCATTGCTGGAATATGAAGCGGCGGGTCGGGCTGTGAAATTGATGTCCTCCCGTCTTTATTTCTATGTGTTTAGTTCATCAACCGTGTGAGTGAAGCGGTGCCCCTGGGGGAGCAGGGAGAGGACGGGTTCGCTTTCCCAGAGGACACCAAAGCGCTGCAGAGGCATCTGTGCGTGAGTCAGCTGAGTCGAGCCCTCGGGCTGCATCACGCTCTCGACCCCGACGGGAAGCTGCGGCTCATCGCCGAGCTCAAAGCTCACTATCGTCACGGACTCAAGTTTGGTAAGAGTGTCTCCTTTTTGTTCCCTCTTCAACCTTTCTGGGGGATAATCGGATTGTTCACGGAGCGAAGAAGGCGTGAAATCACGACGACAAAGTGTAAATGTCGCCGCTGTTCATCGCTGCATTGGTTCCGCTCACGGCTTTGATTCACCGTCATGGCGGTAAATCAGTGACGGTGTTTTTCTGTCTTTATTCGTCGCCGTTTGCGCTTTACACTGACAACAGGAAGTGGCGCAGTCGTTGTGTTGCTCTTCAGGATTCACTGGATGTTAGACAGGAAGTATCCAGAGGTACAGAGGAGGAGAACATGGTGGCAATTTGCTGAGTTAATTTCCTGCTTTAATGTTTCTCTTTTTGTTCGTCTCCATCACGGCTTCCTCTTTTTCTTGCTTGTCCACCTTCTTGTCTCGCTGTTTTTTAAGACGCTTAGTTGTCTCCTTTACACTCTTTAAGGTCCACCAGAGGGGCGTTCACTGACCTATTTTATATCAGACAACTAAACGTTAACATCTCTTTAGCTTGCGTTAAACAGAAACCTGATTTCAGACTTGCAGACGAGGGAACAGGAAGTGTAAAATGCTGACTCATTCTGTTCTTTAGGACTCATTCTTGCAGCACTCTATAAAACATAGAATACGTTCCCCTCCTTGTTCTTGTATTGATGCTACAGGCAATCATTGCTCACTAATTAATGCAGCACACACGTTGCTGCAACTTCAGAGCCTGTGTGTGTGTGACTAATATAAAAACATATGGTGCTTGAAGTATGCTTGAGCTAATCCTCCCAGCAACCAAATGATCCAAATGTTTGTTCGTGTTGCACGAGCTTGTGTCTCTAGCGACTCATTTGCATATGGAAAGTATCGTACACATGGCTGCATCAGCACTTTATTTAGATTTTAAACCTCATTCAAAACAACAATCTTAAGCATCTCACATGTCGGCTGGAGCTGTGTGTTGGTTTAAAACTTAGAGCCGGGTGTTTCGTGAATGTACAGTCAAATATATGACAGAAATATGATTCATGTTTGATGTCAGAGGAGACATGTCTACATGGAGACGTGTTCTTTACTGTCTCATCGCAACAATCACAAGCTCAACAATACTCAGTTAAATATGTCTTTAAAAAATATAAATAAATAAAACAAGACGCCATCTTGATCCCCAAATCTGATTTCATAATAAAACTAAAGTGTTTTTTTAATTTTAAGGTTTAAACTTGAACTATTAGAATGATATTTCAACAACATGGGTATTAAACTTCACTTCTGTTTTTAAATCATTGCTGCTGCAGACGCCTCTTAAATATCAAGAGTTCATCTCTGAAGTTTGTTAAGATCAGCAATTTTACACTGTTATATTTTCTTACAGGCAACGTTCGTGTACAACCGTTTGATGTTGAGGGATAATTAAACACGGACGCTCAACGTTTGGTCTAAAACCAGTTTTTATTTGTGATGTTGCTGCCGTGGCTTTCGCTGACTCGTGATATCTGTGTTCAACAGGGACGAACGCACTGAAGACGGAGCTGCAGTTCTCTGATATGTACTGTCTCATGGCAGCTCACGTTTACATCGACCTCTGGAAGGAGACGGGTGAGTGTTTCCTCTCTTCTTCCTGGTGTTTTCCTCCTCCGTGTCCTCTCTAAACGTCTTGTTGTTGTTGTTGTTTCTGCTGCAGAGGATGAGGACATGGTGTGGCAGTGTCTGGGCGTCCTCCAGGAGGGTCTGTCTCTCAGTCCCTCCAACGCCCAGTTCAAGCTGCTGCTGCTGCTCGTCTACTGTCACCTGGGAGCCTTTGAGCCCGTGGTGGACCTCTACTCCAGTCTGGATGCCAAGCATGTGCAGCACGACACCATCGGGTCAGTGCAAACACACGGTCACCTTTATCTAATCTGTGCCGGTGTTCATCAAGCGTCTCAGAATACCACAGTTATAGTGAGGCTTCCCACGCTGACTTTCATTAGTATTTGTAGATGTGCGCCAGGATTGAAAAGCATGTTTTCTTTACACAATCTCCAAAACTACCCCGTTTATCTCAGCCAGAAGCTGTAAACACCAACATTATCGTCAGAGGTTCATCTTTCCGACGGTCTTTGAACACATCGCGTGTGACGAACGCTTCCGTCAGAAAAAGCAGCTGAAACTTAGCTTAAAGTTGTGCTATTTCATCACAAACATTTTATTCTAAATTATATATATCTCCTCTAATAAAGCGTTCACTTTAACCAGATTGTTTAAGAACATTACATTGTGAGCTCCTCAGTGAAACTATGAAGTCATGATCCTTCTGAGACGTTTGATGAATATGAGACGAGTGTTTACTATTAATATCAACAGAGTTATAAAAACGTTTTCTTTCTAAATCCTTAGCTTCCTGTTGACGCGTTACGCTGAGTCATTGGGTCAGTTCGCTGCAGCCTCCCAGTCCTGTAACTTCTCCCTCAGGTTTTTCCACTCCAACCAAAAGGATGTGAGTCTCTTCGTCTTCTTCATTCTACTCAACATTGAACTTTTTACACTAAACCTCAATGTGTCTCATCGTCCCTCCTTCCTACCCACCAGACCTCAGAGTACATCATCCAGGCGTACAAGTACGGAGCGTTTGAGAAAATCCCAGAGTTCATAGCTCTCAGGAACAGGTTGAACCAATCGCTGCACTTTGCCCAAGTGCGCACGGAGCGCATGCTGCTGGACCTGTTCCTGGAGGCCGACATGTGAGGATCTACTCAACATCCAGCACTCGGTTGAAGCATCTTCTGCCTTCTTCATTCACACGTTGTCTTTCTTTTGTCTCCTCAGTGTGTTGAGTCTGGAGGAGAGTGTGAAGGCCATGTCTCTGTCTCCAGAGGAGGACGACATCCCGTGGGACACCATGAGGGACAACAGAGACCTCACCGTGTTCACCAGCTGGAACCCGAAGGAGAGGTTAGTCCTGGTGTCATGAGGGTTCTACAGGAAGGAGGAGCGTGAGGTTTAGGTTTAGATTTAGTTGTAGTCTGACTTAGTGCCGGCCGATAATTCAATATTATTTCATTTTAATCCTGTTTTCGTCCCTGAACGAACCCGTTTCCTCCCCACAGAGAGCTGACTGACGAGCACCGGCGGCGCTCTCTGGAGGAGGAGTCCGTCTGGCTGAGGTTACGCTCTCTAACGCTTCGCGTCCTCGCCTCCTTGTCCTCGCCGGGTCACACGCCGACGCAGCAGAACTCGGGGACGACCAACGAGAACGGAGTCGGAGACGAGCCGTCGATCCTCGGCGGCCTGCTCGCTCAGCTCCACCGCACTCTGCAGACGGCCGCTCAGATAGCAGAGAGACGCACGCAGGTACGTTTAACCAGCAGGACGTGTGTTTATAATGAGCTGAGTCACTGAAACACACATCAACACCAGCCTACATCCGTCTCAGACATGAATACTCAATAATATCAAGAGAAGACAAAGGAGACAGAAAGGATTTGGGATTTGTCCAATTTTAAGAATGAGGACAGAAATCTTTGCCAGATCTTATAAAACGTATTTATGAAGGATGAAGCAGACCAGCTGCTCACTGACGAGACTGACTGGAGTTCGCTGCTGTAACGAGTGTTTCTGTTGCGCTGCAGTATCCCTTCCTGGGCCCCCCCTCCACCCGCCTGCTCTCTGCTCTGTCCAGCGGCAGCTGTCAGTGCCAGGCTGCTGCCCTGCAGCTGTCTGTCCACCTCCAGGAGCTGGAGACCGCCGGACTCGGTGAGGAGAGACGTCGGTGACGTGAAGCACGTCGACGCTCGTCTCGTGCTCCTCCACTCACCGCTGCTTTCTTTCTTTCTTAGACGAGTCGTCGGAGCTTCAGACCCAGATCTGTAACAGTTTCAAATCATTAGTAGTTCAGCTTCAAGGTGAGACATCTCTGCACACAGAGCTGCAGAAGTTTATTCTGCGTCTGTTACGCTTCATGCTTTGTTTCTTTCTCTGCACAGAAATACTGAATAAAGGAAAAGGAGATCTATTGGAAATGAAAGAGAGCAAATTAAAAACCTGGCCCTCCTTATTAGAAAACCTAATCTTCTTTGTTGAGGTGAGAAGTAACTTTCCTACCGACTGTAGACTGTAACTGTGATGTGTTGGAGTAACACGATGTTATTGTGCACAGACGGTGTGCATAGTCTTGTGGATGGCTAGTCACTGTGCCAAGATCCTCCGACCGCTGAAGACGAGTCTACAGAAGAAGAAGAAGAAAAAGAAGGATACAAACACAGCTCTGGTACAGTTCCTCTGCTTTAACCCTCTGAAACGCGCATGTTTCTGTTAAATACCACAGTGTTCTAGAGTTCACTGGGCTGACCTGATGGTTCGTGTCTCCTGCAGCCGGCGGTGGTGTGCGGGTTCCAGGAGCTGACGGGGAGCTTGCAGGACCTCCTTACCCAGGCGTTGGAGTATATAAAGGGGCAAGAGATCGGCATCACGGCCCTTAAGCTGGCCGGGTTAAGCTTAGAAGGACAAACGCAGGTGAGTGTGCCGACCAGACGGCAACCTCTTGATAAGTGAAGCCTCTTAAAGCCGCATTCTCTCTAGTGTCCACCAGGGGGCGACTCCTCTGGTTGTATAGAAGTCTATGAGAAAATGAATCTACTTCTCTCTTGATTTATTACCTCAGTAAACATTGTAAACATGAGTTTATGGTCTCAATCTCTAGTTTCAAGTCTTCTTCAATACAGCATTATGTTCATTTAGTACATTATGGTCCATTTAGAGTCACACAGACCATAAAGCAGGGGAGTCTTTAGGGCGGGGCTACACGGTGATTGACAGGTCTCTACCAGAGACGTATACGCTGTCTCTACATCACTCCTCAGTCCAGATATGGTCACTTCCTGTTCACTGTCTGCAAAAAAAACAAGATGGCGACGACCAAAACACCGAACTGGAGGCTTTAAAACATTTTTTTAAATGCAGCTTTGTAGGTACGGACGTTTAAAACAAAATAGATATGTAAAACAATAACTGAACGATTCGTTTACACTTCAAAGATTAACTTCCTCATATTTTCTTTTTCTTTTGAAGCATGATGCGTTTACTAGCTGCAGTTCTTTGAACAACCTTGTGTTGTAAAATGACAGATAAATTAAATTTGTCACCTTATAATATTTGTGCTGCAGACGAACAAATGATCACAGATGACTTATTTAATCTTTATAAATAAATCGAACAGAAAGTAACGTCCGTGGTGAGGAGTGATTGAGGAACACGTCTGTTTGAGTTCATGACATGTGGTTCTCTTAAACATGGCTTTGATGGGAGGAACATTATATTATATTTAATGTCATATTTCATGTTTTATTCTGTGTTTCAGGACGAGGAGTCGTTTACGAAGGCTGCTATGGACAAAGTGCAGAGCAGTTACCTGCGCTCACTACAGGAGGCGGGAGATCTGCTGAAGAAGAGAGCAGAAACTATAAAGAGCCTCAAGATCTGAACACCATCCCACCGCCCAAATAACGATGACTCTACCCCCCCACACCACCACCACCATCAGCCCCCCCCCCCACCCCACACCGCCGTCTGTCAGCCCACCAGCTCACTACGAGTCCTACAACCCAAAAACACTCAACCTCCTTCCTGTCCTGCATATTTCTCAACTCAGCGTTTGTGAGCTCTCAATCTGAATTTTTATTTTGCTCGTCTTCCACCTCAACACACACACACACACACACACACATCAACACACATGCACATCAGGAACATCTGCAGCTCTTCTAGCACACAAGCTTGTAAGTAAACTCATGAATTTCTACAGCGGTTCTAGTGAAAATGAGGAATAAAGACGTGCTCTTTTTTAAATAAAGAAAAAGAAACGGAGCAAAATTAGGAAGTATGAATAAGCAGTTTTAGAAGTAATCTAATAAATGATTGTACATAGTAAAGAGCAACTACCACAACTTAAATAAGAATATAAGACACAATAAACCAATATTCTGTTGGTTTGTCCGTTAAGTTGTTCCTTTCTATTCCTCTTTGTTTCGTTTTTCTCTGGTGAGAACAATCAAAATAAAACACACACACGTACACGTACACACACACACTGGGACTGTTAACACTACGGAGGAAAGTTATCTCAATGCGCTCCTTTTCCAGATGTTTCTGTCCGTCGAGAGCAGCAGGCACAACTCATGGACGCCTGCAGACTGAAGTTTGCCTTTCAACAATTCTTTTGTCACAATCCTTTTGTTTTCGTTGCTTTGTGTATCTCGTGTTTCTCTTTCAAAATTGGAACCACGTCTGTAGTTGCAGTATTATAAAGAGCAGTAGTGGGAGGAGTTAAAGGAGGTTTTTAAAGCCGTTCTTGTTTCTTTTCTTTCTTTTTATACCAGTAGACGTGCTTATAAACACGTCGGCCGTGGAGTCAGGTCATTTAAGCACAAAAACACACAAAATTATGATTATTTAAGAGAACGTGTGATTATCTTGAGATGAATCTTCACCCCGTTGTTTCAACTCCACTCCCTGATCTGTTACTGCAGTCATTGAAAGACTTTGGAGCAGAATGCATCTTCATGCAAAGATAAATTATGACCCATTACAAATACACGTGCAGACATTAATATAATCAGCTAGAATGCATGCACAGTCTGTTCCAGTTCGGTCCAGACAACAACGTAGGAGAAGATTTTGGACTTTTGACAAAGGAAGTCCTGAGAGACAAGTGAGGGAAATAAATGCTGGTGGTTCATTGTCGGAGTCTGATCTAAATAGTTTTATGACTTGGTGACAATCCTTCACATTTCAGTCCGGTTGATTTACAATTTCGTGTGTGTGTGTGTGTGTGTGTGTGTGTGTGTGTGTGTGTGTGTGTG